TAGTTGGGGCTGTTTTCAAAAGGTTTTTTTTGTTTTGTTCTCTATTGAGGCGGGGAGGAGGGGGCTGATCAGTCAGCTGTCCAACTATTGGCTCTTCCACTCCCCCAACTCCACGGTATGACTGGAATGTATTACTTTTCTGTGCACAGTCACAACCTGCCTGGTTTCAGGTTGAGGCAAAGCTCTGGTGAAAATGATGACAAGGTGGAGGGACATTTCACACTCAGACCTCTAAATTAGAAAGTTATTTATTCAGACAAACATTCATTTCAGGAAAGGGAGCCTCTGAGCACCAAAAAAGTAGCCTTGATTCCTTAAATTGATGAATATTTAATCAGAGCTGAAGTGCACTTGTTTTGCTCAGTCTGACTGCAGAAGCTTCAGGGAATAAAAGCCAGTCTTTAAATTTGGCAGGGCCTTCCCCCGTCTGCTGCGAGGTGCAAATTAAAATGTTGCTGTTTGCACACTAATCAGATGTTCAGTCAGAACATGCATAGATACATCTTCAGCTTTTCCTCAAGCGTTTTAGCTTCACCATATTCCACAGAAACAATCCGTGTTCAAACACATCTGATGAAGATGGCGTGGTGTTGAAACTGAATACTCTCCCTCTGGGATTAAAGTCCATCTTTGGCCTGTTAAAAAAGCGTTAATGCACTAGAAACCCATTAACTGCAAAACACATGTGAAGAATGGCTGCAAAAAATTCTTATATGTGCCAGTAACAGACTGGCAACACATTTTCACTGGGAGGTTTGAATTTTCCTTGAACCTTGTATATATTTGGCTGCAACCTCCCTCCTTTTACTCGCTTCCTCAAAGAAGTTCACACCAGACTGATTTCCAGTTCATCACAAGCTACGTCAGACAGAAATAAATGCTTGTACCCAAACCTAGAACCAACTTAAAATCCATAACAAAAAAGTTGTGTCATCTGGACCAGTTTCTTTAAGTGAGAAACTTTTTGTCTCCCATCCAGAGGACTTCCTCAGCCTACGGCATGCCAACCAACTCTGTCCCATTATAGTTGATCTGGTTGGCAGACTGTGGACTGAGGAAGTCCTTTGGATGGGGGACAAAACATTTCTCACTTAAAGAAACTGGTCCGGATGACACGATTTAATCTTTTTTGTTGGTCTCTACCTGGATGATTGAGCTTACAACCCTTTTTCCTATAGAGAGATTTTATTTTCTTACGGACAACGGAGCTTTAGGGCCACGTTAAGAAAAAAAATTAAAAGCCATAAAATTACAAGAATAAAGTCCTAGTATTGCGAGAATAAAGTTGAACGACAATAAAGTCATAATATTACAAGAATATACTTGTAATATTATGAGAAAAAAAGTCATAATATTACAAGAATAAACGTATTATGAGAATAAAAGTCGAATGATAAATAAATTTAATTTATTATGACAAATTAAATTTATTATGAGAAAAACGGGG